CTAGCTACCATGTGCACATGCATACATGTGTATGTGTACCCACAAAAAGTATGGCGAGTAAATGAGCTATAATGGAAAATGATTGGCATGCGCCAGTTCTGTATGTTGTGCTCATTTGTTGTCTATAACCAACAGAAAAGCCACCATCACCCCACTACGGTTTGTGACATACTCTTGCTGCAGCTCAGCGCTGGAGTGTGTGGTGCTGCACAAACTGCCTTCCACCATCCTTAGAAAATAAGCGGCTTTTCTCCATCCCCACTTCGCAAAGAGCTTAGACGCCAGAGGAAAGAATTTCATTCCACTATAAGGCAGGACTCCTTATCAACAACAGTAATAACAACTAGTAGTTATCAAATGGGAAGTCTAAGAACCAAGCGGTATGTGCCTGAAGACGACGCATGTATAAAATGACCACGTGGAAACAGCTCAGAGAGGTTGCCGTTCATACACTATACCAGCAAATCTTCAACTAGGAAGCTGGGATCAGAGGGGTTAATTAATTTGCCTAGGCTTAAGAATTGGTAAATCTGAGGTTAGTCACTGGAAGGTCAAACATTCTACCTGGAGTTCTGCAAAATGGGGAAGTAGCCCAAAATGTGAATGGTAATTTTCAGCTACCTGTTAGGCAGATAATTCCCAGGAAGTGCTACTGACACAGGTTCCTATAGTATGTCGGTTCATCCAAATTATTGAGAAGGTATCACTTGGTCCTCCAGCTCATTGATTGTTGTTCAGAGTGTTTAGCTTGGCAGGGCAGTATGATGAGAACTTGTTTTATTACTTTGTGTGTGTGTGTGTGTGTGTGTGTGTGTGTGTTGCATGACACACATACAGTAGTCAGAGGACAACTTTCAGGAGTCAATTCTTGCCTTCCATGTGGGTCGCAGGGGCCAGATGCAAGTGATCAGGTTTGGTGTCACAGGCTTTTAGCTCTGAGCCACCTTGCAGGCCCGAGTGTCACATTTGCTGTTAAACAGTCTTTTTACCCATAGGAGGAACTGATGACTGCCTTTCCTGTGGATTAGAAATAAAAATCTGTGTGTGTGTGTGTGTGTGTGTGTGTGTGTGTGTGTGTGTGTGTGTGTGGTGTGCTAAGTGACCACCCAGCTCAAGAATCATGTGATCAGTTGGCACACTGGCCCTCTCAGGCTTCCTACTGTCGACTTGTCAGCTCTAGAAATTGACCTCTGCAAGGGTGGAGATCCTGTCTGAATTCCACAAGAGTGCACAAGAGCAAATTATTCAGGAAATAGGGCTGAGAAAAAAAGTGTGAGCAAATGAGAAGTTTTCATAGCAAGATTGTTCATTGGGAGGCTAATCTGGGACCAACAGACACATCTGGCTTCCAGTGGTCTACTACTCAATGAATACTGGCTGGGAGAAATGCATATGTGCTCCAGTTTAGTCTGTGTACTTGTGATTTTCATCCATGGTGGTGTCTGACAGAGATTATGCTTTGGAATGCTGGCCACGTTCATGTATGTAGTAGATTCAGGGGTTAAGATATCACATTTGTGTGGAGAGAGTTCTAGTTGGGGAAGACAGTGCTTCCTGGTTGAGAATGGAGATGCTACAGGGAGTCTTACCTTTTCCTATTGAAGTGAAAACTTAAAATGGTGTGAAATTTAAATATCTGGGAGGCACTGACTATGATTTTCTTCTCTCTGATGCAAGTCTGTCAATTGAGTATAAGTAGGTCTAGGGCTTCTGCATGCAGAGGGGATTGAATGGGGAGATGAGTAAGTGCCTTGCTCCCAGTTGCAAATGTTTGCTGTGGGAATGTCAACACGCGTGATCGGATGACATTCAGAGGGCTTGCGGTAGGAGCAGGTGCGTTTTTGCCACATCTAGCACAGCAGTTTAATCCGACCAAAACAGATGAGCTGAACCTTGCTCTGAAGAGACCCTTCCAGTCCCCACCTGTGAAGTTCCTGGAGACACCCGTTCTGATTCTTTAGCCCACTGGGGTTAAGCACACCGTGATGGAACAAAGGTCTAGGGGAATGACCCCATCATGGAGCGACAAGCGAGTCTCATTCTTAGCTTTGTGGCCTCTGTTAAACTTGTGCAATCAGCTTGGGTTTGGATAGCCTTGAGATCTGAAAGACCTGAACTTATGCAAGACTGAAGACCAAGGGTGCCAAAGCCTGACTCAGGCCCCCAGCCAGACCCAGCAACACCAGCTGCCTGAGTCTGGGCTGCCATTAGTTGCTGCCTCCCCCATCTAGACCATGAGTGATGGTGTTAAGGCAAGGGTGATACTTCTATCTCCTTCCCCTAACATGAGCATACCACCAGACTGCCCTATGTATAATTTCAAGCGTTACTGGAGCCCTTTATAAGCATTTTGGATACTCTCTGAGGTCCTGCTTTCAGTTTTAATTCCTGGTCCACCCCAGAGCACAGCAGCAGCAGTCACATCCCTACTTGATTCAGGTAGTATTACTTAGTTTCTCTAGATAGCCTTCCCAGGGCCTTCAGACTCTTCTACAGAGCATATCTCCCATCTTTAAGACAGACTGAAGATGATTTTATTGTTTTGCATCTGTGTGGGTACACGTGTGTACATGTATGTCTTTCTTAGCCACTCTCTATCTTATTTCTCTAGTGAGGTATGACCTTGTATTGAACCCAGCACTCACCAATTCAGCTGGTCTAGATAGCCAGCTTGCCCTCTGGACTCTCCTGTCCCTGCCTCCCAAGCGCTGGAATTACAGACTAGCTGCCATGCCCACCAGGCATTTAGGAGGGTGCTAGAGATCTGAACTCCAGTCCTCTGCTTACAAGTCCACCCACTGAACTTCTATGCCCTGAAGATGGTTCTTGAAAGGCCCAGGTTGATGCTGCTCAGTCTGCCTCAAGTGGTTCTGATGCTGATATACACTGGGCTGGGGGGTGGGGGTAAAGAGGTCTGCTTGTGTCATTCAGTGATAGTTTGAAGTGGTACAGGGGCAGAAGGCAGCTCCTGGTTGGGTATCTTTATTTCTCAGATAAATTCTGTTTAATAGGTGAACTGAGTCAAGTGTCATCTAATTATTCTCTTCCTCACAAGTCAGGGTGTATGTAGGCAGCCAGTTCTCATTATAGACAAGTTCATCCATGTGGGAAAACCCAGGTTAGAACTGTGGTCCGAGAGCACATTTTAGCTGCCTTTCTCTCTGCCACTTGTCTGCAAATCATTGAGCATAACTCTGCCTGGTGCTACAGACTGCTTTTCCCATGACTTTAGTGGAGATATTGAGAGGAAAGCTCAATATGGGGCCTTACGCTATAGCCCTCAAGGAAGTCAAGCAAGGCAAGCCTGGAAATGGGATTTTTATTAACACAACTCTAAACATCCTAAGTTGCGGTAGCACCATTATGAGGCAGTAGGCCTCCAGATGATTTTGAACAACCACTAAATCTGGTCAGGGGAGATGCCTCAGTGGTTAAGAGTGCTTACTGCTCTTCCAAAAGGACCTGAGTTGGGTTCCTGGTACCTGCTAGCTACAGGGAACTCTGTAGACACTGCTATCATATGCACAAACCCGCACACACGCACAGCTAAATCATGAGTGAGCAAGCATGGGATGCAGTGCTGGAAAATACATATGGAAAGGACCCTCCTTCTAGAATAGCTGAAGTCACCACAACACGTGTGTTCATCTTCTTGGAAGGGGGTTAGCAGGCTGCATAGTTTATAATGAGTTTTAATCCAGGAACTTCATGTATTTGGATATGGCACATCATTGAAACACATTCAAAGTCAGTAGTTACAGAAAATATCCCTGGATATGATATTTCATTAGAAGAGAGTAGGGTGTGTGTGTGTGTATGTGTGTGTGTTTATGGCATACCTCACGCAGCAAAGTCCCTGCTTTGTGGGAGGCATAAAGCTACCTAGACAAATACCTGCATGAAATGAAATTGACTAGGACACTTGCTATTCTGTCTGCATATATAACTTGGTAGATAATGTGCTATGAAGATATCCAGTGGTGAAAACTTCGGAATGTAAATGTAGCACAATGGAACATTCTAAGTAAACGGGGTCATCACCGTCTTTGCAGATTAGCCTTGGTCTCTATGATTCCATATGTAAATCGTATTGAAGAGAGGAGTTAAATGTTGGATTTTTTTTTTGCCCATGTATTCTATTCTGCATACTTCTGTTCTTAATTCTGCTTTTTCCGACTCTGCTGGAAATACAGTGTGTTTATTTAGAGACGAATAGATGCCTAGCCAGGACTCTGGTGTCATATCTTAATCATTTGGTTTTCCAGAGGCAAGCAGCTTTAAATAATCAATTGTATAAAAATATATGCAATGCTGCACCAAAAAATAAAAATCAATTTCCATCATAAAAAAATTTCACAAGCAACTTCTCCTCTTTGGCAAAATTCATCATTATTAAATTCAGACAGGACATTAACTTTATGGCTGAAAGGTTTGGCTTACAAAGATGAACTAATTTTGAACACATGGCAACTACATCAATTCTTTTAAAGGATGAGTAAGGAGCCCTTCCTATCATATGTAACTTATTAATATTTTGAATTGAATCATTTTCCTAAGTAGACCTGACTTTTTGGGGTGTATTTTTCTCTACCAGTTGAGAGGCGCATGCTCAGCCAAGACAGATTTATGACCCTTTAAAAATAATGATGGAAAATGAGATGGGGTGGGAGGGGACATATTTGCTATCTGCTTTGCTCTGAGGCCCAAACTGCGAACTCTCCAGTTCTGGAAGCGTTTGAAATGCTGATTCCAGTCTTCTTGTGGGCTCTTAAACACCTTCTCAAATGACCCATTTTAATAACCCGAAAGCTATTATATAACGAGCAGCCATAATTTAGTCCAGGGCTCTAGGGGGACCCTCACAGTTCAGCAATGAATAGTTAATGCAGGATAATGTTTAGCAGGTTATTAGTTTTCACTATACAAATGCTGATCGGGGAGCGCTTTTATAAGGTGTTTAAAAGAAAATGTAATTAACTGGTTGCATGCTTCTGTTGCAGCTCAAATTGAAATTATTCCATGCAAGATCTGTGGAGACAAATCGTCAGGAATCCATTATGGTGTCATTACGTGTGAAGGCTGCAAGGTAAGCTGTTTTAATTGTTGTTGTTGTTTCTATTCATGTTACAAGGCGTCTTGGCCATTTCTATTTTTTACTTCCAGTCTGCCTAAAAATTCAACTCCTTGAGATTCTGAGTGATGATGACAGGGCGCGGTCAGTACTGTGATGTTCAGTTATAATGACTGCAGTTACATATGCTTTGCTCCTTCCTTCTTTCAATGTGTCAGGAGAATAGAGAGCAAGGGACCAGAATCCATCTCACTGATGAGACACCTCTAGGGCTAATAGTAGTCCATGTGCTGGGATGAGGACCTGAATTCAAATCCCAGGTGCCCATGTGAGAAATCCAAGAGTGGCCTCTTGTGCCTGTTTCCCCAGCTTTCTGGAGCAGAGATGTCAGAAGCTTACTGGCCAACTAGCCTAGCTGCAACAGTGATGTCAAGGTTCAGTGTGAGACCCTATCTCAAGGGAATAAGACAGGGAGCTACAGAAGAGGACACTGACATCCTATTCTGGCTCCCATTGGTGCAAGTTCATGTCCCACACACACACAGATCTCCTATTACCGTTTTTATCAGATGTATGAGAAGGTATTTCAAAAAAGTTTCACCTGGATGTGACTAAAGTCTTTCTCTTGGTATCCAGATGTTAGTACACCTGGCCAAATTATAGAACTGAGCTCCACTCTTGGTACCACTTGCCCACCTTGTCTGGGACACATCTCAGCCTTTTAATGACTCAGCTCCATCTATGAGGTGTCGTGACACCCGCCCTTCCTACCTGTTAGGACTATTCCAAGAATAGGAGGTGCTTTTAAATAAAAGCCCATGGTACAGAAAATAATCATTTGAATAAATAGCATCTTCATTATCACTACTGTGACCATCTGTATGATGTGACCTCGGGGCCAGGGACACAGAACAGGCTTTCTGTGAGAATGGAAGACAGAGATGCTTAGTCATTCCAAGACGCCCTCCCAAAAAAAACTTATGCAATTTTCCATTGATGAAGATTTAAATTCTTCTGTTTGTATGGGAAGAGTTCTGAGACATGGTTAAAATTACAGCAAAAAATGAGTATGAGAAATGTTATTTGATGCAAATGGCCTAGGAGACAGCTACAGCCAGGCCCAAATTAGCCCAGAGGCTTTTTAAGATTGGGGGGTATAGCTGTGAATTTGGTTTGCATTCCTTTAGTGAAAACAAAAATGTATTGTGCCATGGTATAGAAAATCACCTGCAGACATATGTAATGGCTGAGAGATTTGGGGAAGATCAGCCTGATAATTTTGAAAAGCCTTCCTCCCACTGCTTATCATAATATTGTTTACTGATATGCATATGTGTAAATATGTCATCTAGACTGCAGGTTAGTGAGGCTGGATTTTTTTAATTATTACATGTATTTATTTGGGACAGGAGGGTGGTGTGCAGGTGCCATGGAATGCGTGTGGGGGTCAGCAGACAACTTGCAGGAGCCAGTTCTCCTTCCACCACGTGGGTTCCAGGAAATCAGGTCATCAGTCTTCGGTGGCAAGTCCCTTTACCCGCTAAGCCAACTCACTTGTCCAAAGCTTGGGACTTTTGCATATCACCAAATCCTTTTGTACTTTAAAAGGCCACCCACCTTCTAGAAGTGGGGAACTTGTTACTTGAGGGGAATTTTGAATTATTCATCTGTGTGGTAAAGGTCTCATGGTACTGGATTTATTTTTAAAAAACAAAACAACAACAACAAAAAGCCTATACCCTTTTCTTCCTTAATCTGGCCTCTCTGAAATAAATTCTTTTAAAAATGAAATAACTGGGGCTGAAGAGAAGACTTAGCGTGTCAGATCACTTGCTAAGTATGAGGACCTAGCTTCTATGTTTAAAAGAATCAAAAGGTTGCTCATGGCTGTGTATTCTGTAACCGAGGCACTGGTGGGGCAGCACCGGGCAGATACTGAGAGCTCACAGCCACCCTGGCTGACAGAGTGAGCTTCAAATCCAGTGAGAGTCTGTCTCAGGCAATAAGAGCAACGGAGGAAGACCCCCAATGTCCTCTGGCCTCCATCCGCATGCCCCCCACACCCACACACGAAAAGAAAGTTGACATACTAACCCAGCTATGCAAATGACCTGTGTGACTGCTGCCTCACTTTAGCCTCTGTGGCTCCAAAGCTATGTCCTTTTGGGAGAAGCGCTGGGGCCTCTCTCATCCCTACAGTGTCTGCTCTGTTGTGGTCCTCAGCAAATCTGACTTCTGTGCATGATGTTATCACCCCGGTGTTTACACCACCTAGGTCCTTTCATTCTGCCCAAGAAATGCAACACTTCCTCTTGTCTGTCTGCTGTGCCCTGTGGTTCTGTGTGTTGAACTGACTGACGTACGATATCTGAAAATATCAAATTCAGGGTGACTTGTGTGCTGTGCCTTAGCAATTTGGAAGGCTCACTAATGCCAGGCTATCCAATAAATCCCGAATTGACAGAGTATCAATGCATTTATACATGCATACTCTACATTTTAAGGCCCAGTATTTATTCTGGAGAAAATAAATGCAAACAGTAAGGCTAACAGCAGTTAAGATCCTATTATCTGGAATCCCTTCCAAATCTTGTCCATGTAACACGTCTGTGCTGAAATGGCTTTCAGCGGTTGGTTCTGCTCCTCTGCTCAGGTGGCTTCCCACAATGAAGGCCACTAAACCACTAAAGTATGGTTTAGTCAGTGGTGGACCGTACACTTTTGAGGAATATGGTATCCATTCTATATTGTAGTTTCTGACTGTAACAAATTTATCCCTAGTTACAGGGAAGTCAAGAGACTTCTGCCACTGTCATCAGTTATCAAATTTTAACCAGGTGGAGGTGATCCCACCATGACTAATTATTTTCTTTCTGGCAATATAATTAGACTTAGGCGGGAAAACCACGTTACATATCAAGTAGGTATGTAATGAGGATGGGCTAGTGTATTATACGCATACATATAAATCATAATATATATATACATCATAATATATTTACCATGTATGATTTATTTATCTGAGACTTACTCATTAATGACATATAGCTAGTATGGTATCCCATGTGAAACTTCCTTTTCCAGCCAATAACAGGTAAATCTGCAGTCATCACCTCATAAAAGCATTCTCATAAAACAACTTTAGGAAGGTTTTTAAAGAAATTTAGTGTATGTAACAGATACTTTTCTCCCCTCTGAGGAAATTGTCAAAGTATGTGGAGCTTTGTATGTGTTGGCTGGCAAGAAACCTGACCAATGTTCCCTTTAGACCCAAATAGCTCTTCGTGAATTCTATTTGTTGTTATTCCACTGTACAAAGCCGCTAGGACCCCTGAGCTGGTCCTGTCTAGTTGTCAACATTAACGTTTCATACTCAATATATTTTATTTCTAATGCTTTAAAATGCCCAGTCCTGGATCAGAGCTCAGCCTGTTAAATTGAAAATCACATTTGGGGAAGAAAACTGTTACTTCAGCCATCAAAGTTTTCTGTTCTGTCATGTATAGGTAGGTGAATAGAGTACTTCCGGTTCAGTCTCCAGTGCCACAAAAACAAGTGGCCTGGGTCAGTATCAGGCCAGAGCTCGTTGGTACACATAGTTCCATGAGGAGGTAGGCCATTATCTATGGAAGAAAGTTTCCCTGGGAAGGGGACCTGTACACCAGCTAACTGGTGCATATGAGGCTGTCTAAAGAACCTGAGTCTCAAGTCAGGACGTGGTAGTGAACACCTTCAGTCCTAGCACATACTCAGGAGGCAGAGGCAGGTGGATCTCTGAGTTCGAGGCCAGCCTGGTCTATGGAGACACTTTCTTGGCATCTTCCTCTGACTTCAGTCTATGGATAACCTTCCTCTACCCTGAGTAAAGCTGACAATTATCATCTTTCCCCCATTGTTCTGCTTCTCCACTTTCTACCCACACTCATCCTCACCCTTCTGAACATTCCCAAAAGAAAGTTCCCAGGACACAGGGCATCTTTTTACATAGAGGACTCAGCTCTTCCCAGCCCCAGAAATAAAGCAAAAGGCAGACGCAGAACCCACTTGTAAAGTCTCCTGGATTTCCAATTCTTAGTTGAATTTCAAAACGCAATGCTTTGGGCAGGCGTAGGAGCACCCAGGATAACTCAGAGTCATGAATAAATCTCGGTTGTCAAAAAGCAAATGTGTAGCCATTCCAAAGAGTCTGCCATTAGAATTCCGCAAGGCAGCTGTCAGCTGTTTTCTTGTAATTAAACAGCCAATGAGCAGCTAATTAAGACATATGTGTACACAGAAGTGGAAGTGGGTATGTTAATGAACTGTAGGAATCAATTCATTACGTGAAAATTGTCAAAAGACCAAACATCAGATCAGTATTGCAGCCTGTGCTTCGTGGAGAAGCAGCCCCAAGTAGGAGGAGACCCCCCTTCCCCCCGCCACAAGAGCAAGACACCTGAGTACCTCCCCACCCACCTACAGTTCAGTGTCCAGCCAGCCCACATGCTTGGGTCAAACCATTAATAACCCTTGTATTTCAAAGATATAGCAAACTAGCTTCCGCAGCTATGTAGAAATGCAGCATTTGAGACCCTGTATCATCCTTGATTTGATCATTATCAGTAACTTTCACTACAGATCTGAGAAGCAGGTAGGGGTCTTATTTTATTTTCAATCTTCTCTTCATATTTCTGTGACCTGTAACTGGGGAGATATCTTCATCAGTGAAATGCTTGCTATAAAAGTTTGATTCCCAGTAACACATTCCTGTACTCCTAGGAGAGACAGATGGGAGAATCCCTGAGGCCAGCCCAGCCTAACTGGTGACCCCTGGGGTCCAATGACAAACCCCTATGTAGAAGGAAGGGAGGGGAGAGGGGAGGAAAGGAGAGGGGAGGGAAAGGAAGGGGAGCAGGAGAAAGACACAGCTCTTGAAGATTGATACCCAAGGTTGACCTTTGGTACATCCACCACAAAAAAAAGTCTGTACCTAGAATCAGGAACCCAAATCTGGCGGCACCTGTTATCTGCTTGCT